AGGAGAGTGCTCCTCTCTCCAGACCTACCAGATAATGCAGGAGAGGGTTTCCTCCACCCCTCATGTTGAAGCTGGTCAAGTGGGAAGTCAAGAGTGCAAGACTCATGGGGATGGGAAACAAAGCAAGAGAAAGCCTGATTCTGAAGTTCAACAAGGATGGCATTCCTCTGCTAGTGACAGGTTGTGGCTTCTCGCCCTCCTGCTGGGACTGTTTATGCATCTTATACGAAACTGTGATTGTTTAAAAACAGAAATAACCATATTCCAGCTACCATAACTACTAGACTATACACTCATGCTCATCCTTCTGACTCCTTCTCCTCCAAAGTTTAATATTGAGCTGCAAGAAGGCTGTCACCATCAGTCAGTCACTGGGCATGTTTAGATAGGGATGATCCTGCCTTGAGCGGAAAGCTAAACTAGATGACCTCCCCTTTCAGGCCTACTTTTCTATGATTCCAAGTTCTGTCCTCACCTAAAGAATATGGGACTTAGGTGGAGCTTAGTTGTTTCCCAGCACCAATTTGGACTGCAGCAAGCTTAGTTGGGAGTTATGCTTTGGTGACTTGGATCACTTCTAAGCATGTACAGTATCTCAAATCTAGGCATCGAGATATTGTCAGGCCAAACTGGAGGTACATAATGAATAGAGACTTGAAAGTATTTTTGCAGGATCAAGTTAGGATCCCTCTGTTGATTCAGGTACCTAAATTCAACTCAGGTCCTGTTTAGACACCTGCAGAATCAATACAGATCTGGCCCTTACTGACTTCAGCTCCACCAAACACCCTAAAGTGCATCTGGCACAGCAGACTACAAAGGCATGAAGAGGTGGGCCACGGGGTGGAGCTATAGAGCCCTGCCGTGAAAAGTCAGGGTTGCAGGCTGAGAGTGCTGATGTTCTTCGATCGTTATGTGACATATGGAGCCAACTGAAAGGCTAGGATTAGAGAGGGGATGTGACACAGATGTTTAGGGCCTGCAGGGACTGACCACCTTTGTAGCTTTATACCCATGTGTGAGTGTAACTGATGGCACATATGTCCTTGTAGTTCTCTGTGTATAAATATGCTGTTCACATAGAGTACGAGCATCACTCTGTGCTTGCCTGGTTACGTGTGGTTTACATCTTCATGTGTGATAGTATGCAGTTATGGATGTGCTTTTTTTTGTT